CTACCGGGTTTGGGAGCATAGCTGGCTTTAGGGCTTACGGTAGGACTTGCCTCAAAACCCTGGACCTTCAACTCTCGGCTCGGAGCCCTTCATCCTAAACCCTAAACATGAAACCCTTCCGCTCTGCATCTCGCCCGCCGAGGCAACCAGGAGGGAGAGTGTAGGTTCACTTGCCAGCATCAGTGAGGGCAGCCCGGATTGGGGTTGGGGGTGATAGGGTTGCAGAGTTGGTTTAGGGTTTAGGGTTTAGGGCCAGGGTTTAGAGTTTGGGGTTTAGGGTGTAGGATTTAGAGTTTAAGGGCTTCTTGGGTTAGGGCTTCTGGAGCTTTAGGGTGTTGAGTCGCTTGAGGATTTTGGGTTTGGTTTCGGTCCCAGGTACGAGGCCTTAAGCCCCAAGCTCCTCAACAATTTTAAACTCTGTAAGCCCCAAACTCCAAGTCCCAACTTCAAAACCGCAAACCCAAAACCCAAAACCCAAAACCCAAAACCCAAAACCCAAAACCCAAAACCCAAAACCCAAAACCCCAAACCCCCAACCCCAAACCCCAAACCCCAAACCCCAAATGCCAAACCCCAAACCCCAAACCCCAAACCCCAAACCCCAAACCCCAAACCCCAAACCCCAAACCCTAAACCCTAAACCCTTTTTTCAAGTTTTACAGTTGAATTCTGGGTCCCCTCTGAGCTGCCCGCGCTGTTGAAAACAACGACAAGTTCACGTGGACAGAAAAGTTAGCCCCTTCAGCTGTTCAGGGTTTAGGGTTTGGGCTTTAGTGTTCAGGGTTTAGGGTTCTGTCGCAGTTGCCGTTTACTGCCGCTGCGCGGCGAGACGCCCAAAACCCTAAACCCTAAACCCTAAGCCCTAAGCCTAACCCCTAAAGTAACCCTAAACCCTAAACCCTAAACCCTAAACCCGAAACCCGAAACCCGAAACCCGAAACCCGAAACCCGAAACCCGAAACCCGAAACCCGAAACCCGAAACCCGAAACCCTAAACCCTAAACCCTAAACCCTAAACCCTAAACCCTAAACCCTAAACCCTAAACCCTAAACCATAAACCATAAACCCTAACCGGGGCCAAGCGTGGGCCCTTATTCCCTCTTTTTGGTGTGTTTAGGTTCCCTTTTTGGCCCCCTTTCAACCAAAAAGGGCACCCTGTTTATTCTTAGGTTGCTCTTGGGCGCGCCATGGATCCGGATTTACCCGAAATCTCTCAAGTCCACCGGTTTAGGGTTTAGGGTTTAGGGTTTAGGGTTTAGGGTTTAGGTTTTAGGGTTTACCTGGGTCGCCGAACCCGTGGTTCATTATTGGTTGTGTTGGGTCCGCACGTAATTGAAGGACATGTGCCTTGTTGCCCAACTCACGCCCGTAAATCCTTAAAAGTCCTATAAGCGAGGCAATACTCACGCCCGTTATTTTCAACTTCCTCACCCACGCCCATAAATTCCAGAAAAACACCCACCGCCCGTAGATCGCACCCCAAGGGATGCCCAGGTAGGGTTTAGGGTTTAGGGTTTAGGGTTTAGGGTTTAGGGTTTAGGGTTTAGGGTTTAGGGTTTAGGGTTTAGGGTTTAGGGTGTAGGGTGTAGGGTTTAGGGTTTAGGGTTTAGGGTTTAGGGTTTAGGGTTTAGGGTTTAGGGTTTAGGGTTTAGGGTTTAGGGTTTAGGGTTTAGGGTTTAGGGTTTAGGTTCTTCTTTCGCAAGGCGGTCCAACAATTTTTGGGAGTACTTCATTTTGTGCTCCTAGAACAAAGGGTTCGAGCGTTTGGGGCCACAGGGGCAAGTGGAAGCGGGGGTTACCTTACTGGGAGTCTCATGAATAATGGAATCCTACTATTTGGGGGTCTAATTTCGGGGTCCCCTAGTTTCGTAAACCACCAAAGTATCCACCACCACCACGCAGCCGTTTTCTCAAGTGACTTGTCGGATCTTGTGATTTGCCAAAGGTTGTACACTCTCGATATGAAGGCCATCACTCTTTAGCCGTGCTGCTGCTGGGATTTAACCTCTGCAACTTGTGCAAAAAGCCATCCGAAGTGACTCATGCCTCGTCATGCCTCGTCATGCCCTCCTTTCCGTTTGCAGTTCGCTACCGTCTTTCGGCTCTTGATTTGCCAGCACCGCACCCTGCGAGGCATTTCTGGTGTTGCTTCCGGTTGCGCTTGCGATCCGCGATGCCAACTTGGACATCGAATTGGGCACCGACATGGACCTCCATGCCGAAAACAGCACCGAATGCCGCCCTCTCGGACCGCCATGGCTGTGTGTTTTTTTTCCAGGGGTTTTCAACACGTCCCCTCAAAGGGGGTAGCCCCAAGAATCTTAGACCTCAAGCAGTAGTTACCAGGGTCTGCGGCGTAGGGGGCGCCTAAACCCTAAACCCTAAACGGGCGTGGAACCCAATTTCGGAGCTCTCAGTGTGCTGGGGAGGGGGGGGGGGCGGATCCACTCGGAGTCTGTTTCAAACAGCTTACCGCTGAGGGACGAGGCATGAGAGACTACACACTCCTGATGTTCATGATGCTGCTGGGTCGCCGGGTCTTAAGCCTAAACCCTAAGCCCTAACCCTAAACCCTGAACCCTACAACCCTAACCCTTACACCCTAAACCCTAAACCCTAAACCGGGGGGGGGGACGAAATAAGAGCGGGCTGGGACTGGTCCTTCAAAGAGGGCTGCTTGGTGTGTCAGAGCATCAGTCTACAACCCGTAGAGGCCTTGCCTTTACAAAACGGTTAGGGATTTTAGGGTTTAGGGTTTAGGGTTTCGGGTGTAGGGATCACTCTCCGGGCGTTAGGCCTCCGAAGGGTCTAGCCCTTCTTGCACAGGAGTAGGGTTTAGGGTGTAGGGTTTAGGGTGTAGGAAACCTAAACCTATAGGTTCGGCAATGCTCGAGGCGATTTTTCGAAGTTTCCCAAATTCTACCCACTCAAGGATGCGTAGAGCCTCCTAGCAAATGCCAGCAAGTAACCCTAAACCCTGGCGCTTGAAACTCTAAACCCTAAACCCTAAACCCTAAACCCTAAACCCTAAACCCTAAACCCTAAACCCTAAACCCTAAACCCTAAACCCTAAACCCTAAACCCTAAACCCTAAACCCTAAACCCTAAACCCTAAACCCTAAACCCTAAACCCTAAACCCTAAACCCTAAACCCTAAACCCTAAACCCTAAACCCTAAACCCTAAACCCTAAACCCTAAACCCTAAACCCTAAACCCTAAACCCTAAACCCTAAACCCTAAACCCTAAACCCTAAACCCTAAACCCTAAACCCTAAACCCTAAACCCTAAACCCTAAACCCTAAACCCTAAACCCTAAACCCTAAACCCTAAACCCTAAACCCTAAACCCTAAACCCTAAACCCTAAACCCAAACCCTAAACCCTATATAAATCCCTGTCCCCCCCCGCCCCCCCCCAAATGCAGGATGGGGATGCAGAACGAACGGCCAGGCCTGCTGTGATGATGGGAATCTGAGGCTGATGTGGAATCAAATTTTACACAAATATGGCTTGGTAGCCCAGTGGTGCCCTTTACCCTTCTTTTGTTTCTGGGCTCCCTGGTAAAGTAACCAACCCCAAACAGGGTTTCTATGGGTATATAGTCCCCAGAAAAAAACCATGGACATGCCTCAAAACCCTAAACCCGAAGATTCAAGTGCCCAAACCCAAATGGTCAGTTCTCCAATTCTGGTCCCTTTTTGGGGTACCCTACTAAATATTCGGAGCCGCCTTATAAGAAGGACCCCGAAAGGGACCATAATTTTAGAGAAGTGACCAAATCCACCGAAACCCTAAACGTTAAACTCTAAACCCTAAATCCAAAACCGCAAACCCTAAACCCTAAACCCCAAACCCCAAACCCCCAAACTGGAAGCATGATATGCCACACATGCTGATTAAAGCATCAGCCGGCTCACTTCTATGATCGCATTGACTCCAAGTCCGTGTCAACCCCAAACCCCAAACCCCAAACCCCAAACCCCAAACCCCAAACCCCAAACCCCAAACCCGAAACCCCGAAACCCCGAAACCCCGAAACCCCGAAACCCCGAAACCCCGAAACCCCGAAACCCCGAAACCCCGAACCCCGAACCCTAAACCCTAAACCCTAAACCCTAAACCCTAAACCCTAAACCCTAAACCCTAAACCCTAAACCCTAAACCCTAAACCCTAAACCTAACCCTAAACCCTAAACCCTAAACCCTAAACCCTAAACCCTAAACCCTAAACCCTAAACCCTAAACCCTAAACCCTAAACCCTAAACCCTAAACCCTAACCCTAAACACCCTAGGAAAGCAATCCGGGGCCGTTGCATCACTCGCGCGACCATCACCGCACGGAACAGTGGCGCGCGCCCATGCTGCAGCTCTTGAGAGCCGGCCGAAGGTTCAGGGTTCAGGGTTTAGGGTTGAGGGTTTATGGGTTGGGGTTTGGGGTTTGGGGTTTGGGGTTTAGGGTTTAGGGTTTAGGGTTTGGGGTTTAGGGTTTAGGGTTAGGGTTTAGGGTTTAGGGTTTAGGGTTTAGGGTTTGGGGTTTGGGGTTTGGAGTCTAAAGCTCTGCGTTCTGGCAGATGCGAAATTGCTCAAGGCAGTCTATCGTTCCCCTACGGGAAGTATGCTTGTCTTACTTTCGTGGTGTCAAGCCCAAGGGAGGGTTTAGGGTTGAGGGTTTAGGGTTTAGGGTTGAGGGTTGAGGGTTTAGGGTTCAGGGTTGAGGGTTTAGGGTTCAGGGTTTAGGGTTTAGGGTGTGTGGCGGTATGCCCACCCAAGCCATTCGGCATATTCATTTTTAGGGATTTGACTGAAAGGTCGGGGGGGGTAGCCCTTCATCCTCAAAATCAGGACGGGCTTGTTTGAAGGCGTTTGGCGTCCCGCATTTGCCGTCACGGAAGGCGTCTGGCATGTGTCTCACAGATTGGTTTGGGTTACCGTAGGGGTACCGCTGCCCGTCGAGCGGGCCAGCGTCCCGACGTGCTTCTTGGAGGGCGCGGCGTCCCTCATCTGCGATCCTCGTTTGCCAGCACGGAAACCATCGACGCAAAGCAATTTGGGGTAACGAAGGGGTAGCGCTGCCCCTCGACCCGGCCAGCGTCCCGATACGACTCTCCCTTGACGAAGACCAGGCTGTGAAAAGGTTTGAAGTGAAGCTTTCGAAGCTTCTGGAGGACGCCAAAGTTCCTGAAGCGAAGCTTTCGAAGGTTGTGGGAAGCATCCAGGGCCTCCTACGCAGGTTTAATCAAGGCCTCTAGAGGCTACCAGAAGCTTTTTGAGGGCCTGCTAGAGAAAAGCTCAGAGGGGAGGGAGCGTGAGGGCGTGGAGGGCAGACGGCGCGGAGGGTTCGGAGGCGCGGAGGGCGCGCAGGGCGCGGAGGGCGCGGATCGAGATAGAGGGTGCAGGGCGAGAAGCAGGAAGGGCAGGGAGGGCGCGGAGGGCACGGCGCAGAGGGAATCCCAGAAAACGAAGAGCACGCGCAGAATAGACGTTAAGCGTCCAAGGCACGGGGAACGGGGCGGGGCAGGTTTCACCTGCAATTGTCTTGGGCTATGGTCTTTACCTTTCTCAAAGCCTCAACCGCCTTGAAGGCCAGTGTGGGCCTTGCCTTGCTTTGGACGTCCAGCAGCCCCAGCTTTACCTGGGCTGCGCGTTCAGTGCTCTCAGGTCGGTTGCGAAGCTTGGACAGCTTCGGGCTCGCAAGTCCTGAGCAGGACTTTAGGGTTTTTTGTCTAGGGTTTAGGGTTCCATGCAGGGGGGATATCGGAGTCGAGTCGAGGTCTCCTGCCCTCGCCCAGTGGAACAAGCTGGGCTGGGCTGACGCTTGGCGAAAGATGAGTTAGGGTTTAGGGGTTTAGGGTTGAGGGTTGAGGGTTGAGGGTTGAGGGTTTAGGGTTTAGGGTTTAGGGTACCGGGGGACAACCGAAAGGAAGGGAAAAGGCCAGGAGAACCCAAGGGAGGAAGGGGGGATATCTTTGCCTAAGCACCAAGACCCTGACCCCAATCCCCAAACCCAGGGCACTACTTTTTCAGTTGACCAGCTTCTGTTAGTGGCCATTCTTGAGCCGCAATATTTCGGGTGCACTTGACTCTTAACCTCAATCCTGAAGCAACATCTCCGCACTCCCCCCGTCCCAGGTTTCCTGGGACACCTTGGAGATGTCACTTTCTGGCCAAAAACTGCACAATTGGCAGCAGCCGCAGGAAAGTTTAAAGTCCCATTGGACAAGTCATAGCCATTAGCTCAGCGAAACTTTTTGTTTTACGTCCATAAGACGGTCCGTAGCCATATGGCACCACATTGGGTGTTTCCTGTCCACCATTGAGGATATACCAACCCCTAGTGGAGGATGCAACGGGGGCTCGGGACCTATCCTAAACCTAACCCGTTAACGCTTCCAGACACATCGGCCTTTTTGTTCTCTCTCTCTCTCCACCGTCTTGCCTCTTTCTCAGTGTACCACAGCGACACAAACAGACCACAGCTTATCATGTATGTCCAGATAAAATTGTCCAGCTGGTACCACCAAGGTCCTTCCAAATAGACAGAAACCTAACCAGACCACCCCCATAGCTGCTACTTCCTCTCAAGACGTCGAGCTTCCAAAATCCGGTGAAGGCGCACTAACATACTTTCCAAGTTGTCTATCCCCACCAACGGATCCACCAAACACCTTTGTGTGGAGGTGATTACACCCTCCCTTCGCGTCTCATCCACAGCGGTGCTCGAGGTTTGATGTCTTCTTGCGCTGGTAGTAGTGCCTTAATGTCCCCCATGTAGATCCATACCCCAATGGTATCGTTGGAACTGGTGTTGCCTCATTGGGCTGCTCCACCACTTTTTGACCAGAAGCCAGCTCGTTCTCTTCAGCCTCAGGTGCGGTAGGAGCTGGAACAGGGGTTGCCACCAACTGTTCACCTCTTCAGCCTCAGGTAGTCCACCCGCTCCCACGTTGACCTCGTTCAAGTTCCTCTGCTCCACATTGAGTCCCGCAGAGTCTCCATCTCCGCGCTCTAGGAAAACAGGTTCAGAACTTTCCTTTTTCTTCGGCTCCACCCCCGCTGTTGCAATGACTCCGGTGTCGACTTCCGTCTCATCGCCAGTGGGTGGGCTGACCGCCTTTTCAGACCGAGCGTCTGAAACTTCCACAGTAGATTCTTTTTGGTCCACTGCAGGCTCCTTCAGCTCCATGGCCACCAAAGGAGAATTTGTACCATCCGTACCACCCACCACAGCTGCCGTATGGTGTAAATCATTTTGCTGCTCGTTGCCAGTTTCGACTGCACCAGTGCGTCCACCTGTGCGCCTCCATCACCAACAGTTGTGACGACCTTATTCCCGTTTTAACAGCCGCCAGCTTCATTAGCGCTCCAGGTCTCTCCTAGCACACTAGCCCGCGCTTCCTTTGCGCTCCAGGCTGCCACATCGACCACCGTGTCAGGTGAAGTGTCAGCGCTTGTGACCATCCCAGATGCTCCATCACTCGCCTTCAGGACCTCGATCTCCCCATCTGCGGCCAGGGTTGTTCCACCACTTGTGAGTGCCTCTGAACCAACCACTCCACTTCCCCTCGAGTCAGGAAGTGTCACTTGGCCTCCAGGTCCCAGTTCTGTTACGTCGTCCTTATTCATAACATCTTCGGGTACCGGAACACTTGCACCCACAGCTCCAGGATGTTTTCCTGCCGCTACATCGGCCACGCCGTCCACGTTCTTTCTTTCAGAAACAGTAGACCCCGCCACTTCGTCACCTCCAGGATGTCTCTCCGCCTCAATCTCGTGATCCAGGTGTTCTCCAGCGATGTTCTGTGCTGTTCCAGAAAAGCTTTTATCTTCAGGGGATAATACCAGGGTGTCTAAGGTAACCTTGCCTCCATCCCTATCACCCCCTACATTCCTATCCTCGATGGCAGCAACTCCCCTATCCGACCCTGTCTAGCCCGATTGGCCTCAGGAGTCGAACGTGATGTTGTAGTACCCAGTGCCTGTCCCACTGTCGCACGTCCATTGTCCAGCCATTCCTGCACCACTTACCTCAGTCGCACTTCCAGAAAACACCGATGCTCCCGTGGGAAGCTCCCACTGCGTTCGCTGGGTGCTCATCCCATCCTCCGCGAAATGCACCACCCACTCAGATTCATCGAGCCCACACGCCTGTACAGACGCAGCGTAGGCGGGATCCTCTGCGGCCTCCAGCTGCTCGTCCATCTCGAGCTCACTCTGGATTCGATCAGCCTCCAGATCCATGATCTCAGTGGGATGCATCTCTTCGACAGGTGCTGACGCTTGTGTTCCGCCACCTTTGCAGAATCGTCAACAGTATTCAGACCAAAACCTCCATCGCTGCCCAAATCACCGCTCACCTTGTTTGAAGACTGTTCCAGAGCAGCCACTTCTCCACTCAGCTCAGTCTGCACAGATTGCTCTACCATAACTCCCCCAGAGGAACTCGACGACGAAGACACCGCATTATGTTTTTTCATAATTCGCAGCATTGCAGCTTCAAAAGCAGCGCACCTCCTCAGAGCGAGGGTGCTGTGCTGCCATGGCTTGCCTATAGCCCTTAATCCTTGAAACGAAAACCGCAGGGAACCTAATTTGGGCCCATAACCTACGGGGGACAACCGGAAGGGAAAAGGAACTCACCCCTAACAGTCGCCCGATTCTATTCCCCAGACCGACCAGAAATTTAACACACGGACCAGGAGAACCCAAGGGAGGAAGGGGGGATATCTTGGCCTGAGCACCAAGACCCTGACCCCAATGCCCAAACCCAGGGCACTACTTTTTCAGTTGACCAACTTCTGTTAGTGGCCATTCTTGAGCCACAATATTTCGGGTGCATTGACCCTTAACCTCAATCCTGAAGCAACATCTCCGCATAGGGTTTAGGGTTCCCCTACTACCCCAATCTATACTACCCCCCCCCCCCCCCTAGGTTCCCCCCATGATTAAGGCCATTTAAGGATAATTAAGCCTAATTTGGGGGTTTAGTATAGAGGGGGTAGTAGGGGAACCCATGATTTAAAGGGTTCGCAAGGGAGGGGGGTAGGTTCCTAGCAAACCTTAGGGAAGCTTGGGGAGCCTAGGGGAAACCCTCTACCCTAAACCCTAAACCCTAAACCCTAAACCCTAAACCCTAAACCCTAAACCCTAAACCCTAAACCCTAAACCCTAAACCCTAAACCCTAAACCCTAAACCCCGGAGTGTTGGGGGAACCTTGGATTATACCCCCCCTAGCACCCCCGGCCCCTCCCTGAAGAACCCTATAATGCACATCTCGTGGCACGTTCCATTCCTTGAGACTCCAAGACTCCTTAATTAAGGAACACTCCCTAAACCATATAAGGAACCCTATTCGAATTTAAGGTACATTCCCTAATTAAGAGGTATCAGGATTAGGGCTGTAGGGGTTTAGGGTTCTACGGCAAGGTTTTACGGTTTGGGATGAGTTGGTTCTTTGATGCCCGCCCAAATTCCCAAGCCCCCCAGACCCTAAACCCTAAACCGTAAACCGGAAACCCTAAACCCTAAACCCTAAACCGTAAACCGGAAACCCTAAACCCTAAACCCTAAACCCTAAACCCTGAACCCTGAACCCTGAACCCTGAACCCTAAACCCTAAACCCTAAACCCTAAACCTAAACCCTAAACCCGAAGATTCTATGCCCGAAGAACCAAGAAAGCTAAATCCCAAACCCGGAAAACCCAGAAGCCGGAAAACTTCAGAAGAGGGAACACCTCAGAAGTCAGCCTCTGAAGCCCCAAAAGCCTCCCCGAAAACCCTAAACCCTAAACCCTGAAGCCCTAAGGGTTTAGGGTTTAGGGTTTAGGGTTTGGGGTTTAGGGTTTAGGGTTTAGGGTTTAGGGCCGTCAGGGCGTCTGCTCTCGGTTCCACATGGAGGGCACCACGAAGACCTTCCAGAAGCAGGGGATGGAGCCACCCTGTTACTAGCCCTAAACCCTAAACCCTAAACCCTGAACCCTGAACCCTGAATCCTGAACCCTGAACCCTGAACCCTGAACCCTGAACCCTGAACCCTGAACCCTGAACCCTGAACCCTGAACCCTGAACCCTGAACCCTGAACCCTAAACCCTAAACCCTAAACCCGAAACCCTAAACCCTAAGCCCAGATGTAAGTCGGCTTGCGGTTCTTAGGGTTCTCGGTTTTTGCTTGTAGGGCTATGGGGCTTTGAGGTTTAGGGCTTTTTGTATGGGTTAGTATACC